GACAACATTCTTAGAAGTAATCAGTCGCTTGCAATGTAAAGCTCAAGTACGTACTGAAGACGATGACTCACTCATAAAATACAGACCCCGATAAGACTTAAACATTACTTTTTACACAACTAACATCGTATTTGAAGTATATCGATAGTTTCTTATACGAAAAGATTAAAATTGAATTTATATTACAATCAAATTCTATAAAATCATATAGAAATTTAAGTTCATGACTATTGCATATTTCATTATGGAAGCATATTAAAAATTTTAAATGATTTTAATACGTATAAAATTTTGGTGCGTTTTGTCATGACAGATTTTATAGGTCAAGTTCAAATCCAAATATATGAAGTGGAATTACAACCACCTGCTAATACACGGTTAGCCACGCCCTCTTGGTGGATGATCTACGAAGTACTTAGATTACCGGGGCACGCATAGAACACCTGTCACGCTTCTTCCAGAAAAAACAATTTACATTCCTCTATTTCCCGCCAATTTCCTGATTTACCGCCTTATTCATCACTAGTCAAAACATGATCTTACCTTATTCGCAAATTATCCACAACTGTTTCTAATGTGATCTTATCCAAAAGGACCAAATCTCCGATGCCAATTTCGTCTTGCGTTGCCATTTTTTCAATAATACATGTATTCGCAGAATTTACGGTTCCATACACGTATAACTACACGCAACTCGTTTTGTATTGGAGACCAGCTCCTTGGGACTGACCGCCTTCGCTGCCAAGCGAATGACGAATGCGGTTAACTGAAAACTCCAACCTATCCTTCACCCCACCATAATCTTGTATTTGCAGTAACGTTGCTACGATATACATTGTTATATATTTGTGTTTTTAAAATAATAAATTAAATATATTATTTTGTCTGTATGTAGGAATCACACTACTAATGTTGATCATAACAAGTTGTAAAATAGTAACTTATTGCATATTATTGCAGTGGACGTATGAATTAAAAAATTATAATTTTTTAAAAATAATACTTATTTTTAATGTATACATTTTAATATCTATATATTTCAAAGTGTCATACAGTATTTATGTATGTTTTTTGTACAAAAAAATTGATAATTGAAAAAATTTATAATTCTGTATTTATATAAAAGTTATCAATGATACAGCCCTGGGAGAAGAAAGCTTGTTTGAAGCGCTTGCGCAAAAGTTGTGTATATATACGTATTATGTATACACCTATATATGCATGTTATTATTATTCACTGTTATTTTTGGCGATTCGTATCATTTGTCATTCATAATCATTTGAATGTCCGGTGAAAGTCCGGTGTTTTTTCTATAATTGGATATAAAAATGGACAAGAGGAAAGTAAATTTACCTTCAAATGCTACTAACAATTTAGTGACAAGTAAAAATTACACAAAACGAGTGGGGTTACTGGAAAGATTACAAATAAATGAATGGACGTTTAGTTGTTTACTTTTCATAATATCGTTAACTATCGTTTTGGGAAAATTATATATAAATTACGGTAAGTAACACTCGGAGAGAACACAAGAATATATATTTCTGTAAAGAAATTTGTTTTATAAATTTAGCGTGTAATACATGTTGCATGTTTTGCATTATTTGTATATTTATTTTGTTATCCTATTGATTAAACACCAGGAATGCATTTCTGTAATAATTTTTTTCAATATCTTCGTATTGACAAACTTCAAACTTTTATGCAAAACTTATACTTTGGTGTACTTGTGCAATGTTGCATTGCCCGCGATTAATTTTGTGAAATATTTTTTTCACTTTTGCTTTACTAAATTTTGTTATGAGTGATTAAGTATATAAAAAACAGCAATTTCTGTTATTGTTTTTATCATAAATCTTTAAGTTTATGCTAAATTAAATTGAAGCTTACAAAAACAAATTCTGTTGTAGTATTGTATATTAAAAAATTAACAAAAATTAGTTCTGATATTTTCATATCATCTCTTTAGGAAGTACTTTGCAGCTGCAAAATAATTTTAAGTATGTAACATCGTCAACATCTATGTTTTCAAACATATCCAATGTATTTGATCAGTCACATATACCTGATGTGTCACAATTCAATGTAAAACAATTAACATCTATGAGTGAAAAGTTTGTTAACATTAGTCAATACGATGGTGTTGTAAGTGTAATGACATTGTTCTTTAAAACATTTGGATGGCTAATAAGAGCAGCAGTAAGTGGTCTCATTATGATGGGTTATACTTGGTTTATAATTTACAAAGATAGCAGTGTACCTGGAATCAATCCACCTTCTCCTTTTAACCCTTCCAAGCAAAGGTAAGTTCAAATTTAAAGTAATTATATCTGCAAATATTTATTATTAAAATTGTTTGTTTGTTACATCAGAACTTTTTAACTGTTTTTAAAAATATTTTCTACACTTCTTTCAGATTTTCAAAGACATCAAGGGTACAAATGAATTATTTGATTGGAATACTAAATGGAATACTAATTTTTGTCTTTATGTGCCTTTAATATTTTAAAAGTATCGTGACTATGTAGTAGTGTTTATGTAATTTGCAAATTGATGTGTAAACACTCTACAGTGATTATATTTATTTGTTATTTATGTTAACTTTATGTTAAATAATAATATATTTAATTTAACAATTAGTAGTAAGATAAATAATTTATGTTGTGCAGATTTATAAACATTTATCATAATGAAAAGAGTAATTTTGTAGAGAAATACTTGTCTATAGCAGGATAATATTTTCAACTGTAACATTAAACTAAAAAAAATGCTAATCCTATTCATAGTTCAAATTAATGTTAAAATTGTGTCCATTCAAATACATGACATAAAAGAGTATGCCCTGATTTACTGTATTATAAAGGAAGGAAAATATTAAGTGAAATTAGAACATAATGAAAAAATAATATGGAGTAATATGATAAGCAATATTTAATATTAAATTTTCTGAAGTACAAAATTCATGTATTATCACTGATTAATTAATATTTATATTAATTTCTCCATTATTTAAGACTGATTGTTTATAAAATCCTTATTTATTGATAAATTTGTTAGCTCTGGACAGCTAAACATCAAGTATTACATGTACCTTTTAACATTATGTAATATATATATATATACAATGTATTATTTTCTCTGTAACAGTTCTTGTAATGTGCTAAATATTTTTTTAACTAACTATATGTACATATAAATAGGTAAACCAGAATTATTTCAAAAATACTAATAAATTTTGTAATATTGAAACATACTATATGCTATTAGAAATTAATGAAACTATTGTTATTTATTTTGTAAATGCAACTTGTACTTAAATAAAAATGAGTTACTATTGCAATTATGTTATTAATAAATTACAAATTGTAAAAAATATTTATTCAAAATAGTACACAAGTATTTTTATAATTCTTCTAACTTTACGAGACAAACTGGTCTTTTTTTGTCTTAAATTGCCAGATTTAAACATGTTTGTGTATATAATCATAATATTAGTAATTTTCAAATTTGACAATAGTTAATTTTTTACGTGCTTTCAAGTAATTTTCATTTAAGTGTGCTTTAATCTAACATTTATATGAAAGATAATAGATATGATGATGCAATCGTGTGTCAGGGCTAAATTAAAAAGAGACACCATGTTTTTTTATAATTAATAATATGTGTCTATCTAAAATTAAACATACTTGTATGTATTGTTTAAAAATAGGATTTTATTTTAATAAAATGAAAAGTTGCTGCTTTAAAAAATTAATGTTGTTAATGTAAATGTAAATTGTTCGTGATTTGCCCTAGGTGCAACATTGCTTTGTTCGTTCCTGATGTGAGTCATTGCAAAGTGTAACGTGTATATGAGAAGGTTAGAAGATCGTGTGGTCCTGTTTCGTTGATTGGTAAGCAGTAGTGCTTTGTCAATTTTTTGTTCAAGTGGCTTTTCGTTATTTTTCTAGTTTACTCTATTGGTGATCAAACTTTCTTTTTTCAGTCTGGTTTGAAGTATATCGTTTTCATCTAAAACATTATAATATAACGCGAATGATGGATCATCAAATGTTCAAAATATACAATCAGGAAGACTTTAACAGAATTACAAAGGGAATCAAAGTTGCACAATGTATGCAATCGCGATCGTCATCAGGTAAATGTGTTTAGAATATTTCTTTTTATTCAGGTATTGCTTAATGGTAACTTACTTTCATATGTATAACCGTGATTATTATTGTTAGTTCTTTATATAGTTGTTGAATTAAAAATATTTGTGAACTTTTAATCATTTTGCTTAATTATGTTTAATTAAGTCATTCAAGTCAATTCATATTTCAGAACTTTTTGATACGTCGAGTTCATACTTTTGAGGTTATAACTGTTTATTCTTCTAAATTTAGCAGCCATAAATAACAATTAAGAATAATTATTAATGCAACTTATGCAATAGTAGAAATAGAAAAAATTAAAACTGTTACCTTGTTACTTTAGTTTCAGACACTGAAAGAGTATTAAGTCAACTTGATGACTTAGTTGTGTCAGATTCTTTAAGTTGTTCATTTTGTAATACTATATTTGAAGATAAAGCACAACAGAGACTTCATTACAAGTTAGATTGGCATCGGTATAATTTGAAGCAGCATTTAATTGGATTAAAACCTATTAGTGAAGATAAATTCAATCTCTTAGCAGATGAAGGTATTATTAATTAATTTATTAATTCCCTGGTAATATAATGATTTTGATATAAAAAATATTGTGGTATTAACTTTTTAGGTGATGTTTCAAGTTTATCTGGAAGTGATGCAGAAAGTGAAAATGAAGATGAGACCTATGTCTCAGAAGCAGGTAGTTCTTCCAGTGGACATTGTGCAAGTAAAAACAACATTAATAAAAATAAAAAAATAGAAAAAAGGGGGAAAGGTACCGAATCAGTTTCTGATAGTTCTGATACAGAATGTTGTGATGATGCTACTAAAGAAAAAAAAGTTGAAGCTTTATTGGCCACTGCAAGTCGTCATTCTAAAGTTTTCTTCGAGAATGATGATGGAAACATATTTAGTATATACAGGTGTCTACTCCATAATAAGAAGGTCCGTTCATTTATATTGCAAAGAAAGTATAGTTATGCGAGCAATTTTTTCAAAGTATAGACATGCTTGTCTATCATCTTATCTTGTAATTTAATCTACTTTGTTAGAGTCACTTGACGTGTCTATACTTGCCAGATCAGGAGAGATGCAATTACATTTTAGGAAATTCCAGAGGTAGACAATGAGATGATTGCTCAGGCATTAGACAGTGGGAGAAAAACAACCTGGACTGTTATCATGATTGGTGGGGGACATTTTGCTGCAGCTGTATTTCAAGGTATTAGTTTTAAAGTATAATTAAATATTATGTGATATTAGAATTATATAAGCAGGGGCCTTCTGTTTTTAGATGGAGAACCCATTGTGCATAAAACATTTCATTCTTATACTGTACGAGCGAAGCAAGGATTTGCCCAAAGTTCGCGTACAACAGCTAATCATGCGAAAAGTGCCGGAGCTAGTCTGCGTCGTTATAACGAAGCATCTCTTCTTCAGGTATTTGATTTATTAATTTATGTATATTTATTCTTGTATCATTCTGTTCATGTATATTAAAATTTTTTCTTTTGTTTCAGCATGTACAAGATATACTTGAATCATGGTCCTCTTACATTAACAATTCCTCTCTAATTTTATATAGAGCAGTTGGACCATATAATCGTACTGTATTGTTTGGTGGAAAAAATCCACCCTTAGATAAAAGTGATTTCAGATTGAGACCATTACCGTTTCCTACTCGCAGAGCAACATTCAGTGAAGTCAAGAGGGTATATGATATATTAAGTACTATGGAAATTTATGGTATGTAGTTAATATTGTGTTCCAAATACTTGAAATATCCGATTTTACTTTATTAATGTATATTTTAGGTTCTGCAGCTGATTTTAGAGATTCTTTTCCAATTTCACCGCGACAACCTCTTAGAAAAAAGGTTCCAAAAATTGATGTGTCATGTGAATTGCAAGAAAAAACGGAAGATGGGGAGTGTGATTTTAATAATACATGTAATCCCCAAGAAGATGATAAAAATAAAATTGTTATTCAGCCATCTCCTGAAAGACAACACAGAAATTCTCGATCTCACATAGATAGAGCAAAACCAAGAAAAAGTCCATGCCGTCCTCTACCCGGTACGAAATTGAAAATATTACAAATGAACGATATATAATGAAGTAGTTAATTGAATTATAGCGTTTGGTTGTACTTTTCAGATATCGTTGCTAAATTAGCACAGTCATCTTCGGAATCAGAATTAGATAGCCAGATAAGCACTGCTAATATTCCAATGGATGTTTCTTTAAATGAACAGGAATTAGAAATAGAATTTAATGAAAATTTACTCGCTTTCCAAGATACTGTGCCAAGATATATGAAAAATAAGAAAGCTCGCCGACAGAAAAAAAAAACGAGAAAAGATGGTGAATTATTACGTTTTGATAATGTTTATATTTTGTTTCTTGCATATATTAAAATAAAAAAGAAAATTTTTCTAGATTATACAATAAATGAACTATTAGCCAGCGCTAGAGTTAAATTATGGTCTGCATGTAAATTAGGAGACACTGAACTACTGTCGTCTGTTATTGATACTTTGTTAGTAGAAGTGGAGAAGAGTATGGAGTTAGAAGAACAAAATAAAGAAGATGTATCTACTGATGCTAGTTCAATTATAAATAAAGATGATGTAATAAAATTGGTAAATGATTGTAATGAAGATGGTAATACGATGTTACATTTAGCAGCTCTGGGTGGACATTTAAAATTAGTGTGGTATATCAGCGTTATATTGATATATATTTCTTTTCATCTAGAAGAATGTTTGTCAAGATATTTAGTTTTAGGCAACTACTGGAAATTGGGTCAGATCCTTGCAATAAGAATAAAAAATGTCAAACACCATATGCAGCGACGAACGATAAGGAAACTAGAAACACTTTTAGAAGATTCATGGGCGCTAATCCTGACAAATTCAATTATAGCAAGGTATTTCCCACAATAACGCTTATTAAAATATTATTCTTGCTTGTATAACATAGTTTATGTGTTGGTTATAAAGTCTCAAATACCTGGGCCACTTACCGATGAAATAGAGCAGGAAGAGTTAGAAAAAAAGAGACAACAAAGGAAAGTGAAACGGGAAAAGGATAAAGTGAAAAGAAAAGAATTTGAACTTAAAAAGCAAGAAGAAGATGCAAAACAAATCTTCCTTAATCTTAGTGACAGAGAAAAGGTACATAGATCAATCAGTAATTGCTAAAATTATTCAGTGCTAATAAAGTGAATAATTAAATATTATGTATTTGTATTACAGAGAGCATTAGTTGCAGAGCAACGAATTTTAAAACAAGGTTGCACTATAGTTTCAAGATGCTTTTACTGTGGTGTGAATATTGAAGGTCTGATGTATTTCGAATATAATTCCAATCGTTTCTGCTCTATGCCGTGCTTGAAACAGCATCGTCTTTTGTAACGTTTAAGCCTTCAATTGACCCGAGTCGTATAGAAATTTCTACAAACTGGCCTTATTTTTCTACCATGTATAAACAACTGTAATGGTATAATCTTTATGAGGCTAGATTTAATTATACATATAATTTTCGACTGTAATGAAATTAAAAAAAAAAAAAGAAAACAAAGAGAAAATTCAATAATCCTGAAGTAATGATCAAAATTTAGATGTACTATGACGATATAGTTTAGATCTGTAAATTTAAAATGCGTTGTTTTACAATACCTGTGGTGCGTATTTATTGTTTAATTTAAATAAAATTTCTTGCATGTGTTTTTCAAGTTTTGGAAAGAAACAGCAGTGTAACTTGATGTACATACAAGAATTTTTATAATACATTCATTTTAACAAAAGTATGTATGTTGAAACATATTTTATTTGTCTTTCTAAGTCAAAGGTTAATTTAATTAAAAAATCAATTTTGTGGAATAAGTAGTATGCAAAGAACTCGTATTTGGTAAAAATTAAATACACTTTATATACTTTTTTTGTTGATTACATTTGAATGTATAACATCTTTAATCATATATTAAATGACGTACATAAAGAACTAACATTTTTATGCTAACGATAAACAATAACTAAGTTTCACACTCACGACCGCAATATTACATTCATACTCAGTTTACGATATTATAACATTATATCGATTATGTTCCATTGTTATAATATCATAACTTTGTAATACATATCATTATATAGTATAACGTTCATGCGAAAAACGAGTCTTTTGAAGTATAATTTCTTAAAAGGATAAGTTTTTTACACAAGGTTATCCGAATATAATGTTTCGATAGATGTTTAACGCTTAAAGTTCTATCAATTTTATTTAACATTCGTTAATAGGAATTTGATACGGTGTCTGCATTCACACGTGAATCTCATTGATGACTAGTATCGAAGAAAAAAAAAAGGAAAATTCAATTTTTTCAACACACATACTGTTAAATCATTGCAATTTAATGTCAGTGGTATATTGACGAAAAAGTGTACATTTCGTACAGTTTACGTCTCTCACGTGCTAATAGTAGGTAAAATATGTTTTCTTTTACCTTTCACTCACGGCAGTAAGCGTTAAAAAATTCTATACTTCAAACACGAAATAAGATAGAAATTGATCTGTTGAATTTCTCTAAAAGTTTTTAACTACACATTCAGTATAACCGAATACAATTCAAGTATTTACAAAGTGTCTTAATCTCATTTGAATAAAAACAACCCTCTCCACGACTCGATTCAAATGAAAATAATGCATTGAGATCCAGAAGTCATTATTGTTATAAATATAGATGTTTATTTTTTTTTTTTTCCTGTTAATCTCTATCGATTATAATTATTAGTTCACAGTATATACAATAATATGAGAAAATACTTCGGATCAGGTATGTCAGTTTTCGTTATTTCGTTCTCAAAGTGTGCTTTAGGCTAATCAAACTGTTTCCTATGGTATGGTTCTTGATTGGTAGTGACTTTGTAACTAGTGAAAATATCAATTTTCATAAAATTCGTAGCATTGGAATGGTTTAAGTACAGAATGTGAAATTCTTTTTTAATCTCTCACTGCACCAATTTATAAATATCATCGTAGTTTAGTTGCACAAAATTTTTTCTACATACTTCCTTTTTTTTTATTTCCTTTATTAGTTTATTACCATGAATATTGGTTAGTTTCATTTAAATGGACGTGGAATCATCGGAATCCGTATCGTCGTATTCGTCGCCATACAGTCCATGAATGTTTCCATCGATCCAATTGTTCTCCACCTTTACCTCGTACCTGTTCTCTTGGATCTTATTCGAGGGTACAATTCTAACATACGTGTTCTTCATGTTCTTCAATTCAGATTGTATGCCGGTATTTTTCAGCATCGGACTCTTTTCACCGCTACTCACCGACTTCGAACGAACTTTGTCTGTAATTTTTTCATCTTCCACCGATTCCAAAGAGCTTTTCCTTCGGCTACTCTTTCTACCGGTCTTCTCTTTGTTGCTTATCGCCTTCCTTCCTCCTTTTGGACTCTCGTTCTCTAAATACTTCCTGATCCACTTGGGTGTCTCACTCGAATAAGACGATTTCTTCACGTATTTCGGATTGGCCATTATCATCGGCACATCGGTTTCGATCACTGTAGTGATCACTTGTTCGTTTTCATCGAAATTACTCTCCAGATACTTTTTCTTCGGTATCACGGACATGTTTATCTTTCCAAGTATCGAGGAACTTTCGTCTGAACTCTCGTACGTGTACGAATAATGTTTCTGTATATGTTTCGGTTCGTCGATGATGTCGACGATAGTTTCCGAGTTGGACATCTCGTTCTTTCGGTTCTCTTCTTTTTCATCCCTTCGAAATCTCTCCAAAGCCTCTTCGAACAAATGTTTTGGTGACTTTTTACCAAAATCAAGAGGTTTACCGAACGTGATAGGAGAAATCAGGCTCTGTCTTAGATTGCCTGTGATACTGTGCCTTTGCCTAGCCGGTGGATCGAGCAATCGACGTAGACTCGAGTTCCTTATCTCAGGTACCGACATCCTCTCCCTGTTAGGATTCGGCGAGACCAATCTCTGTAATTTATTCGTCGTAATTGTCGTGGTTGTCGCTGACACTGTCGATGTAATAATCGCAGCTACTTTCTTATATAATTCGGTTGACAACAGTTGTCTTTCACTCGGTGGTAATATCGGGGTAGCACTTGTCACGAGTACGCTTTCAAGGCCTTCTCTAGTGGGACTCATAAGTTTACTCACAGGAAATCCTGTTTGTTCTTCGATCTTAGTCTGTTGGTGTTCATTGATGGGCGAACTGGCTATCGGTAGTAGTCTTGATCGAGTTGCATCCTGATTTCGCGTTAGTTGACTGTCCAAGCTAAATCTCTGCTTGGGTGTACCAGCTATCAACCTAAGATCGTTTTGCGTTTCTAACTCCGGTATTGAAAATCTATCCCGATTGAACTTTGTCGCAGCGGACTCTTTGAAGTTCCTGTGTTTAGCACCGATGTCCAACTGCGACAAACGGTCCCTCTTGCTGGCGTGTATAGCAGGAGAGAATCTTTTATGTTTGATAGGCGGCGGTAAAGGAGAATGGAAAACCATCGTGGGTAAATTCAGGTCTTTTCCCGTACTTAGGCAAGGTTGCGACAATCTCTGTTGACCACGACCGGGATAATAATCGTTGGTAACCAGAGTCGGTTGAGAGAGACGTTCCCGTTTCCCTGTTACGTCTTGTCGCAAGGTAAACTGTCGTACGTCCGGCTGTGACAACCTCGAGGAGCCTTGATCCATCGTCAAGCTTCCTCTCGAGCTTCCACTGAAGCCCTGTACACTTGGAGCTGATAATCTCTCTTCCTCGTTGATACTATTATCGCCGGAGGCTGCTCTAAGGCTGGTATAAGACAATCTAGAGCCACGATTCATTCCGGCGAAATTGATACCGCTGAAGCTCGAGTTCAACGTAGGTTGAGACATTCTTATACGACGATCAGGCGAGCCTCCGGATCTTCTGTCGTACGATATCAGAAGAGTGGGTAGATTCGGTTGGGAGTAACGACTGCGTTGACTCGCAGGCGAATAACACGGTGGACACGGTGTCGTCGAGTGTGTTCCGTCGAATGTCGCGGAGTCTTGAGATTCGATACTGGACTGTGACTGAGGAGGTGGTTTCACCGGAGTAATGTGAAGATTCGGATGGGAGAGTCGATTCTTACGACCTTGAGTAGGTTTCTTCAAGTGGTCGATAAGGTTGGGTTGTGATAAACGGATGTAAGGAGTAGGTGGTCGGTTCAGGTACCAGAGGTCCCGTCGGGAATACGGTTCGCATCAAAGGGTACCTTCCTCCCGTAAACGACGTATGAAAACTGGTCGGACATCCTCGAAGAACGACGGCAGATCTAATTCCGCGGCACGAGCGATTCCACCGTCTTTGCATTCTAACCAGTACGTGTCCATCAGTCCTTTACCCTAAAAGATTCACTTTTGCCTCGAGTGTCCCCGTTTAATGCATGCATTATACAGAATTTGCGTATTTGAGAAACTTTACCTTCACATCTACCAAACCACGATGAGCGATTTTGAAACCTCCTACAGCGTCCAAAGCCTTTTTCATTTCTAGGCTAATGTGTATTCGCAGAGCTTCGCGTGCAAGATCAATAGCAGAATTAAAATATACGAAAATATATCGTTAACACGTTGACTGCCTGTAACCGGAGATTGTTTCCTCGATGGAGTAACGGTGGTGATCGGTGACCGGAGTGTCTCAAATGTTTAGAATAATAATTAAAAAAAAAAATAATGATAATAAAGGGTAATAAGCATAATATAATATTATGCTTAGAATAATGAAAATTCTCTCGTGGTCCCCTGAGTGCAACACGTAAATCTGGCGTGGCAGTGAACGTGTTAATACGACGAATAAGAAACCCTACAGAGATCTACCTTCTCCAGTTGATTCCATACGACTAGCTGTATTTACAGTATCTCCAAAGAGACAATAACGAGGCATTTTACTTCCTACGATTCCAGCAACTACGGGACCTGTGTGAGCACCGCTTCGTATTTGAAGACGTTCACCAGGTCGTTTCGGTACTTGAAATACCGACGAGGCTGCTAGGAGATCGAGTGCCATTGTCGCTATTTCGGATACGTGTTTATCTCCTTTAAACAAATATGTATATATAAATAATCGTCGCATAAATGTATATAAAATTGACACGACAGAACGGAAGTAAATAATTTTTACCATTTCTAACTGGCAAACCAGAGGCAACCATGTAAGAATCGCCGATCGTTTCAACTTTGTACACGTCGTAACACTCGATGCGGGCGTCGAACAATTTATAGATCGAGTTTAGGAACGTGACAACCTAAAAATGACGCAAGAACTTAGAGTACAAATAAATTGCGAGTGGTTTTATACAGGACAGCGAAAGATTTTACTTCCAGCGGTGTGTTCTCCGCGGCAATCTCTGTAAATCCAACGATGTCGCTGAAATATACGGTTACTGCCTCGTAATACTCCGCCGGAACCTTTCGAATAAAAGAGAACGCTCTTAAGTTGATAGAATAACGAGAACACCAGTGTGTTTTATCAATTACCTGTTGCGTTTGCTTCAATTGTTGCGCCACGCTCGGAGGTAACATTTGAAAAAGCAACGTGTCGCTCTTCCCTTTCTCCTGCTTCAATTCTCGCGCCTTCTGTGCCAAATTCGCCGCGTACATCTAAAATTTCCCGACGAAAAAAGAAAGAAGAAAGCGTATTTACCTACCTGAGAAATATTCGTTCGAATTACACGATTCACGAGAGCTTCGTGGTTCGTTAGAACGATTGCTATCGCGGTAAATATCGAGATGAAATAATGGAGCGTGGATAAACGTCTTTAATTTCATCGATTCTCACAGCGAACCGCACGAGCAACAGGCTTATTCCCTTAAATTGGAATCGAATTGAGAGGAACAGAAACACGCGTCGCTTAATTGCCGCTCAATAGAAACGGTTTTCTTCGAAAGAGGAAAAAGTACGAGAATTTTATCCGACCGCTTACTTACTTGTATCGTTGCTACCGCGTTACGTACTAATACTATAATGATAGGAGAAACGACCAACACCAGCACAACTATAGCTATCCCGGCGACTTCCTTGTTGCTAGCATCTTGCAATGTTGAATTCACGTAATTCCTGTATCCAATAATTTTATTTTCAGGTAAGTTAGCTTATCGAAATTTTAGGAGAATAATTCTAAAGATTTACCTAATCATGTGACGTAGCGCTCGTTGAAGTTTCCGCAGCTCGTCGACGTAAGTTGCCATCGAATCGAAGTACGCGATCGCGTCTTCGATGCTCGGTTCTCTCTTCTGGTTCTTCAGGATCTCGTTTCGTCTGTAATTCATCGTTTCTCCAAGTAAATCTATTACACGTTCACGTTCAAACTTTCAACTCTTACACGCTATTGTACTTCTGCTTAAGTTTTAGTAGTTTAGTAGCTCTACTTCTATTATACGCTAGTTAAGTCTTAGATATCAGTTTCGAACGAGTCGAAAATTTATTCGAACCTGTTTGCTTCGCTTTTTCTCTCTTCGAATGATTTTTCTTTGAAATTTATACTCGTTGCATACCTAGATTTAATCCTTCCGTAGTCTGGCATACTGTTGGTGAGTTCTGCGTAAAAATGTTTGAGAGAAGGCACGTATGTGAGAGATCCACTGAGGAGATCACGTCCAAGAGCTTCGTGGCGAACATAGCTGACGTAATTGTCCTCCAGAAGGATTCCACGTCCAAAGTAATTGATTCCGTACACGGAAGCAATACCCAAGCTCTCGATGCTCCTCAGTAAATTTTTAAAAGCTATCAAATACCTGGAACCGCGGATATGACATTTTCATTCGTTAATTTACGATTCAATTTCTCCTCTATTGAGTTCTGTATTCTTCGTGCATTCAAGGGGGAAAAAAAGAGACGTATTTGAACATTAGTCGAAGTTTACAATTGATTTTTATATCCTAAACAAGATTTTCCTGAACGTTCTTTTTGTTAACTGAAAAATTCATTTGTTTAATTAGTTTCTTTCTGTTCGATTCAGTTTTAAGGAGATACGATATTTATTATATTTGTGTAAAAGACTTTATCGTGAGGTTTTATGTGATAAAGTTAGGAACGATAGGGGGAAAAATGGTAGGTTTTTGTTGTCGATTTACCTCCAAACTCCGCTATTATCCGTCTCCTTGATCTGATTAGTCAGATGGTCCAACATAGCCGCGTTCACGCTGGTGTACCATGCCATCACCTCGGTGATACTGCTCTCCTCCGAACTTATCTTCTGCCTGAGAAGCGAACAAACTTTCTACTCAGGAGTCTTCGCCTGAATCCCGCTGTCAATACATCAGAAATTGATTTCTCTACCGAAGCCTCGAAATTACTTTGCCATTATCTCTTCCGCGCTCGATTATCGAGAGAAACCGCTTGGACGGGTCACGAGATCGTTCCTTTCTATATAGTGGTTTAAGGGATGAAACTTGGCTAGTAAGCTGTGCATGAGTTCTGGGAATTTCTCGATTTCTCAATTTTTCAAAAATCTAATCCAAGATTTGGAGTCTGGGAATTCCTGAATTTTTCAAAGAACTAATCTAAGATTTGGATTCTGGGCATTTCTAAATTTTCCAATTTTTCAAAAATTGATCGAAAATTTAAGACTTTCACGGCCCAAAGCATAATTATCCAGACTTTAAGATCTGAGCCGGGTCCTTATGGAGAAAGTATTCCAACATTTCGTATTCGTTTCAGCTCACTTCATCAGAGTTCGTGAAACACACTAATTACCATTACCAGTGTCTTTCACAGTGTCCGATCACAGATCATCACTATCAGCGTACCTATTTCACGAACCCCACCAAAATGATCTACAACAGCCCCAGAATATCTGAATACCTTTCCCATAAAAGCACAACTTACCCCGAAAAGCCTCGATAACCCTTCACACGTGAAACTTACGAAGCAATCGCTCCGTGTAACAGGGAATTTTGAAAATTTCTCTACTCGAAAGCTACGTATCGGCAGCAGTGAATGGATGGCAGAGGTAACCGTTGTATCCAGGCAGCTTTTAGTCAGAGACACGATAGTCGTAGAGCGACAAAGAGAAAACTCAGAGGTGGGGTGGAAAGAGGGAGGCGGGCAGAGGGGTCTAAAAATATTGTCTACTGCTCCAAATGGGCGGTCACGCGCTCATGTGTGACAACCTCATCCATTGCTCATAAAGGTGGTTCGACAGAGAGAAGGCCGAGGAACGGTAGTAGAAAAACGACGTACGATTATCCCACGTACATATGTATATCTTATTCTCATTTAAAAGTTTAATTACACACCGGAGAACCGTCACATCTGCTGTACCAACTTTCCTACGCGTTCTTTAAGGCTTCGTCGTTTTTACTAAAATTCTAATGAATTTTACGTACTGAAAAATTCGCCAAAGATAGAAAGAAAAACTTAACTCGATAATCACCACTTATCACGTGAAAATATCTATCTATCAGTGTTCTCTCTTTAATTTCAAGTCGAAACAATATTTTTGACTTAGTAATCCGTACTTATCGCGTGAAAATATACATTTTTCTATCAGTGTTCTTTTCAATTTCAAGTCGAAATTCGCCGAAATAGAAACTTGAAAAATTCGCCAAAAATACAAAAAAGAAAAAGACTTATCGCGTGAAAGTGTATATATTTCAATCAGTGGTCTCTTTTCAATTTCAAATCAAAGCAATAATTTTACACACACTTTTTTCTAATTTACCCCAAGTTCCTTGCAATTTTATTCAAGATCCTCAATCGTTCTTCTCAGGAACGAAGAGAAATCAAAGGAGCAACTAACTCCTTTCTTCCTTATCTTCCTATTCACACGACGAACACGCTATAATAAATTGCCACAAGTTTCGGCCAGTGTTCGATCACACGTTCGCCGGACTCCTAGCAGCAGAGACGATGGGAAACGAACGCGATTAGGGGATTAATTGGGCAAAATGAAACTAGCCACTATCAGAGTAGCTCGTTGGAACGTTGAAAATAATCAGCTAAATAGCTAGGCTAATTAATTCAGTTGGCGACTGATTGATCGACCGGCGGAAGATTAATAGAACATAGGGAATCGAACGGTGTTATTTTCTCCTCCCTCCCTCTCCCACCTGATGAAATCGAGTTAATACACATCCGTCCTTCGAACGTTATCTTTGCCATACGTGTAGTATCTTGGCTGGGTTCGAAGAAGAGGATTGTTAGCGGCTTGTTACCGGTGCTCCCGCTGACAGAAATGTGTCCCCACTGTCTGACATATGCTCAGTATAATATAATAGCCAACGTGAAAACCAACCGACCAGTCTCCTTCGTTCGATCGACGGAGAATTTCCTATACTCGTAACAAGGGGAACGTCTATGTAGGAATCTAACGATTCGATTCGCGCGACAGTTGGCAACCTGAGATGTTTAATTTTCACGTAACTGGACACCGAAAACGGCTCCGTTTAAATGTCAAATGCACACGTCAGGTGCTAACGTAGATGAGAAATTTCCACTGCACCAACGCGTCGGATTACTTTACACAGGGAGAGACGTAACGATCTCGATTTTAGTATCGTCGTTTGCGGAAGAGATCAGCAACACTCTGCATTTCTAAGCTTTCAAATTTCATTCGTTCTTTCCTCTCTTTTTTTCTCGTCGATGTGACAGAGTTTCCGCGTTACACCCTACCTCTACTCTTCGAACTGAAAGTTATGCTTTTGTAGCGCAAATCAATTTCGGGAACAACGAAACAGAGTTGTTCGTACCGATATACCCGGTCTATCGATTTATCGGGTGTAAGTGGTCGGTGGCATAGTATCTCGCCCTTTTCACTCTGTTCGAATGAAAAACGTGCCTTCTGCACGTATTCCCGATCGAGGCACATTAATATCGTTCCATCGTGTTTCCCTCTATCTCCGGCCGGTAACTCGAAACGTATCCGAGTAGCAAGCAATCCCTTTTCCACAGCTCGACGAGCTCGCGTAGTTTCGTTGAAAAGGAAATTTGCGCCAAAATTTCTCTCCCCCCCAATACCGTTTTCAACCAATTTTACCCATCCAAGGTGTGTGTATACGTCGACGACACACGTGTGTCGAGGTGTTTCGAAAAGGAGAAGAAAAAAATCGGATCGTACGGCAACGTCATATTTTTATAATCGATCGATAAGCCAAGACGATTGCGACACGCCGGTGTGCTATTATAAAAGCATACACCGCCTCGACATACCGTACATACCTCCTCCTCTGCCGCGCCTTTCGGCTCTCCCTTTGTAATTAGGTGATCGAGTAATAATATTGCACGGCTACGAGTTATATTTGTCCGTTGAAATCATTTTAATATCTTAATTTAACGCTGGGTTTACGGTCATTTCTTGTGTACCTATCTCTACGGACAATTAGACGCACAGTTTTCTTGAAATACAGCTTATTTCGTTTAAAAGCAACATGTTATACGCTATTAACCCTTTGCACTCGAGGGCCCTCTTTTCTATAAGGAAGTAGCAAAAATTGACGTAATTCTTTAAAACTAATATTTTTATTAGAAGTTGCTTCTTTCGAACTATCTCACTGCTGAGATCTCTAAACATGCAGTGAACAATTCACGGAGGTCCATAGACTTGCTGTATTGGAAAATACCATCCTTAGATTTGCCTCTAACTGCAAATATAATGTCGCTTCTTAGTCGCCTCAAAGAGCGCAAAGGGTTGACTTGTAAATGAGACTACGTGATAGTATATATTTGTATAAAATTTATAACGAGCACAAGTGGTGGGAGAGAAATGTACAATTTCCTTGTGAAATTCGCAATGCGTCAAAATGGCGTGTTCCGTAGACCTAGTGTTGATATCGTGTCACAGTTGGAAGTAGAACGAGGAGATCGGATTCGGGAAAACTCGCAACGTGACAAAAATTACACGTGCACGACTAATCTTCCTTCTTCGAACTACGCTACCTTTTCTACTCTACCGCAAAAATCTAAGTCACAGCATTGCAAATAAACGAGAAACAAAAAGAAATTTCTCATTTTCAGCGTATCAATTTTGAGAAAAATGTTAAAGGGTTAAACTGTTCTTTTCCCCCGATATGTACTTCCACTCGCGAGCATTATTAAAATATCGCCGCTTTTGATGTGACGCGTATCGGGTGGTATTATTAAAATTTGCGTAACCCGTCGATTCGATTTATCGTCCTTTTCTCTCCCCCATTTTACCCTGTTGTATGAATAATAATTGTTGCGACGGGACAAAGGCTGCGAGAATTGAACGGAGAAAATTTCGGTTTCATCGGTTATCGAAAAGGAAAGTTCTTATCTGTGGGAAGAGGGAAGGGAGAGAGAGAGAGAGAGAGAGATACGCGGAAGAGGAGTGTAGTATTCTCTCCACTTGGAGGCTGAATGGAAATTCAACAAGTGTCGGAACGAAGGCTCGAGGGAATAAAGGCTTCCTCCGTAATTCTCCGTACAATCGAGTGTTGCTTTGACAAAGACCGACATTCGCGAGTTAACCGATGCGTATAAATATATGTATATATATGTTCCTCCGATCGATAATTCTTTTAATTTAATCGCCTCGTTAAAGCTTCCATGTTCGATGCATCGACGGTATTATCAACACAATGCATGTTCACCTTTAAGTTTTCAATAGAGGGAGGATTTTTAATTTAACCCTTTTGTTATTACAGGCCTTTTGAAAATTTCCTCGCGTTACATGTTTTGGAACCTTTTCACACACTTTGCACCTTAATTTTATCCTTGGAGCGTTCGCGCCTTAATTTAATACTCAGTTTTATCATTCAAGCGCTTCCGCCTTGATTCGATCAACCGAATTTCAAAACTATACGGCCAGAATAACAAGTGGTTGAAAATTTTTCAGAGCCATCCACGTTTCGCGTTAAAATCTGCCACAGCGAAAGGGTTAATATCAAACTCTTCGAAAAAATTCACGGGCGAAGAAAATGAGACGAGTGTAAGCCGCGGGTTTTTAATCGGTTACGTGAAGAAAGTTATGGTAATTAAGGGTGAAGCCGTCAGGCACATAAGGGATCGTCTCTGACGTCATTAGCGTGGATAAAACACGTGGACTGTGTCTGGAGTAAAGTGTGCTCGAGTATTTGCTAATCGATTCGTTACCTGAAATCCTCGAGGCGTGCTTGGAAGGCCTCTTTGCTCACTACGTCATAGGTTTGCGTCTTGCTCTCGTCCCTCGGCACCGAGACCAGCGGCCACGTAGTCATGTTATGAAGAGCTTGATCGGTTATGGCGAACCTCTGCGTCAAGTTCGACCTTGAACAGATGCAAGAGACCATGGGGGTAGGTATATTAGTGCTGCGTCGATAAGTTAGAGGGAAAAGAGATATAGCTTTAGTTTTTCGTTTTTTTTTTTTAAATCTCTCTCTCCAGTATCGACAAAGTCTAAGAGAGAGAGAGATACATTTCCGAAGGATCGACTGGATTATTTTTAAGCGAGAAATTTTCGTTAATATTTCACCGAGTTTCCCTCTATTTCCATGGAACGAACCAAGTGGAAGGGTCAGGTCAATCTGTCACGTTTCGCTGATCATGCGGCTCTAATCACTATCTTCGAACCTTGAATTTACGAGTACCAATAATTACAGATCGAAGACGGGCTTTAGTTTGCGTTTGTTAACAAACGCCGCCCGTACGGAAGGCTCTTCTTTAAGAGATTCGTTGGAAACGAACGATTCTGACGTGTTAACGATGAATATACTTAACCCTTTGGCAGTTCATCCCGTGTGAGACTCGGGCAAAGCGTGAAATATTTCACTGTTCGAGTCAGGAGAGACTGGTAGGAAGAATGTTGAACAGGGACGAGATATTATTGTCACAGCTATGACGTAGAGTTGTGTATCCCTTGTTTTAAAACTGATCATACCCGACGTAATTGTTAGAAATATGAATTTTTCTTACCGTCATTCATAAGTTTGTTAAACTGTCAAAGGGTTAGTAGCGTTGATATTGGAAATGGGTGATTGAGATAAAAGTTATCGAATTTACTTCTGTTAACACGGAAAGAACGTCTTTACTGTGCGAATAGCTCTTAGGAACTGTTTTCTGGACGCCCAAAAAGGGAAACCTGGGGTCCTCTTGTACCCACGAACTGTTTAACCTCTTCAGGGACACCGACGCATATGTATACCTTTAAATTTTCCGAAAATTCCAATATTTGCGATACAGAAAATATGAAAAATACAATCTCCCGAAATCTCGAAAAATCTCCTAAGGAAAGTAGTTTAATTGCTATCGATTTAACATGAATATGAATGTAACTACATAAAAAATTAGATCAATATCTTCTAATTTTAAAGAAAATCGTCCCTGAACTATTGTATCGCAGTGTAGAGTGTCTAAAACGAACTCCAGACTTTGTCCAGAAAAAAGAACGTCGAGACATTTTCGTTCTCAGGCGATACACTTTGTTTAACTTCTTTAGAAATAATCCAACAATTGGAAATATCGGCGATAGATTTGAGATTATAACTGGTATAGAATGAATCTTCGTTTGGATCCTAATCCTCAGGCAATTCTCCAGGCTATTGTTTTCTCGAGATGTCGGGAAAAGTGTATCGTACGGCCGGTGTCTTGATTAGAGAACACTCTGCTCTGCCCATCTGTTTTCATTCGGCTCTCCCTATATATTAAAGGGTTCTTCTCCTCTTTGGAAGAATAGCTTCGTCACTGAGTCACGTATCAGCCGAGAGATCAAGCGACTTTCAAGGCTTCTGGCAAACAGTGAAACGAACTCTATCGACTATTTGCGTAACAGATACCGTCTTCTGCATTTCGCATGAAAGAGGAAAACAACGGACGAGATGTATGTTACCTGTAACGAGATGTTTCAGGAAGCTTAACGAGTCAGACTTGTGCGACAGATTCTGGTGAATATGCGATAAAAATAGGTTGTATCGCTGAGAAAAATTTAAGTCAACCGTTATTTTCGAGTAACTTTGTGGAACTGAAGATTAGGTAATTTAGTTCGTCTGTGATTCATTAGCTCTCCTTTTTTAATTCTATGAAAAGAATTTTTTATTCTAATACAACACATCGCGATATGCATAAATAATGTGTCAACAGTTAGAAACGGGACTATTTAAATATGCCGTTAGATGAAAATTTTACAAATACTACCATTTACTCGAATTAAATGCTTTTACTAATTAATCAGTGTCAACCCCAATAAGTGCACTTTTTAAAAATTATTTTCTCTCACTTTCCGTACCGCGTTATTAATACAAAAAAAAGTAAGTTACAGCATTGTAAATCGCGAAAAATTAATTTTTATAAGTCTAGAAGGTAATCAGAAGGAAGACAAAATTGATTCTATTTGGCACATCAAATTGAGAAAAATATGACGCTTATAGCTGCAAAATCGGGAAAAGAAATCATAAGTCAAGGACGTGGAGCATGCTGATACCTGAGTGTGCTGCCATTGGTGTATATAAAGAACGCAACCTCGGATCTCTCCAACTGCATCCGCGTGACGACCTTCCCCAAATCCGTGGCGATTGTTACCTGCAAATTATTCACAACAACATTGAATTAATTCCAAAGAAAAAAAAAACATCAAAATATCAGAAATTCCACGGACCAAAGATTCGCCGGTTACGGTAACCAAACGTCGTCCTCGAGCTCGTGGAACCTCCGAAAGAAGAGATGGAACTTAATCGTAAGGGACGGAAGGACAAAGTAGTGGACAGAATAAAGTGGCTGAACGCTTGCTAGGTATATCTATACACGTCGTACGGTCACTCCAACTTCCAAGTACCTAAATGGCCTTCTATTATACTCGCGAAGCTTCTACATTTCATCCTCATCGAGTATGCCCCGGGTATAATTATCACAGATCACCTCTGTCGATGAAATAAAATATCGCAGGATGGAAACGGAGCACAAGATCCTTCGTAAAATCAACGAACAGCTAAAACGTTCTCTCGATTAATATAGAACGCGAATCGACGGTCGATGAGTGTCGGATGAAATTAGTTTAATCTCGATTGTCTCGTACGATGTCGTCCAATAAGTCTCGACGTTGTCATACGCGGTGTTGACATATTCGTTGGTCGAGGAACGGGGAAACATCGGGCAAGATAACGTCAGGTTTACACGACTGGTCCCTGGTAATGCTTTACCCACATCGCCTGAATTAATCGTGACAGTGGATGTCCTGTGACCGTGCGGGGGCTAATGAGTATGGATCTCCTCGTCACGGCTCTGGGCTTGTGCGCGTTGAACCGTGAAAGGGACATTCTTAAAAGCTCCCGAAAATAGTATCTATCTCGTGGAAAATTTCGTAGAAGTAAAGCTGGATTGGGACAGTGGATTGTTAATAAACTAATGTCTTTCTTAACCTTTTCTAAGGAACGCGAGATTTAAGCGACGAAGTGGTGGCCTGGTCTTCGTCACCCAGGGTCACCGGAAGAGAAAACGCGCGGATACTTGAGGGTGTCAGAAATTAAGCCCTTTCCCAGGAAAATTGGACTAGGAGGCTCCAATGGTTTTTCGGAGCGACGCGGGCATAGAACGCGGGAGAGGCAGACATTCGAACCATCTGAGTAATCTCGGATATTGTAAAGTAAAATACATTTGGTTAACAGTCTACACTGTGTCTTGCTTATTAAAGTTGTGTCTTACACTTTAAATAAACTTTTGTGAGAAAATCCGTCCCGAAGACAGTAAAGCGAGCATGTTGAAGCCAGGCTCAGCGCTTTGGGTCTTTCCCTGGGTCTGTTCGCGTAAGGGTGGACAAGGATCGGCAGGACGACGCGTCCTCACTCTTCACTCTTTGCGAACGGCGCTCAGATAACGCGGATATAGACTTTGAATAACATGTACTATTGTAAAAACGTAGACACGTTCAAATCATTTCACGCCCACCCTACTCCGAGTCAGAGTATTTTCTGACACTTTCTTTATGTAATTAGAGATTTACCGGAGAAAACGTTCGAACTGTGCGAGTCACACGACAAGAATGGAGGAAAAGGAAGTCAGGTGAGAAAAATATCTGCTCTGACTTTTTCTAAATAAAAGATCATTTTTCGTACCCAGAATTGCAGGTTCTGTCTAGGGCAGTGATGGCGAACCTATGAGACGCGTGTCAAAGTGACACGCATCGACTTAAGTCACCTCACAACCGAAACCGAGCAGATCACAAATAATCATCGCGCAAACAACAACGAAAAACAATGGTGTCTATCTTCTATCAACGAGGTTCAGAATCGTTAATTACAAGGTCGTAACGCTCGCAACAATTATGGATATTTCTAGATGTGACACGGCACCCGAGTTAATCTAGGTTTTTTCCCAATTTTGACACACCGAGCTCAAAAGCAGTACCGAGCTTCTCTACGTGTTGATTCATTTTTAACCGTAGCACTTGAAACGTGCACTCGAGGACGAAATATCGAACAAGCAGCAACGAGAAAATATAACGAATCTTCGTTTACGATAGAAATTCGACGTTGCGTGTATCGGCAAAATATAGAGCAATCGATGCAATCTACAGTCCGTGTATCGCGAACAATTTAATTTTCAAGTGGAAGAGAAAAGCCGATGCTTTTAATAGGGAAATTAAGTTGGTCCGTGGTCGCGATGGTCGAGGGAATGGGTGAAACGCGGAGGAGATTCTTATTCGGTTTTTCCTATAGATTTTAATTATGGAGGGCGTGGCAGAGGAGCAACACAGAGGAACGAGTATAATAAAACTGTCGACACGCTTACCACCACGGCAAACAACGTCGAACGACGAAAAGAGAGAGAGAGAGAGAGAGAGGAATGCGTCCATTCTTTTCCGCCTTTTCTCCTGCTATGCTATCGTATACTCGTCAAACGAGTAACTCGAGTAACTCGAGATCGAACGCTGCACTCCAGGCTACACACCTCTTCACCCCTTTCACCACCCGTTCGATGAATTTCAATCGGATCTACCGTACACTCTTCCTACCAACCCCAAGCCTAATGTTACCGGGAATGTCTATTGTTGAACGGTAGCGAGAGGCTAAGTATTATACTTGATTCTGGTATGGAAATTTTCTTTTTTTTTTCGTTCAAGGCCAAGGGTAGAATTAAAGGATGTTAATCCTCTTTGCCCAACCGTTCCAGTTCACTTACGTAACGAGCAGCCCTTTGTTGACAAAACAATAAGTTCCGATCGAGGGTGGAGACCGATAAACTTTTTCACAGAGACGCGGGTTTCTCCTCGCTTTTTACCATTTTTTCGCGGCTTTCTGTTCGTTTTTTTATCATTTTGCGAGAGTTTCTCTTCGTTTTTATCATTCTTCGCGAGTTTCTCCTCGTTTTTTTATCATTTTTGGAGAGTCTCTCCTCGCTTTTTTATCATTCTTCGAGAGTTTCTCCTCGTTTTTTTATCATTTTTCACGCGATCCTTGGTCGATGATTCGATACCACAGGATTAACTGTGTATTTGTATACCTTTTAAGGAATATCGATGTGTAAGAATGCTCGGAACTATATTTCAAGAGCATTTCTTCTTCTATTTCGCCTCTTCCTCTTCCTCCCTTGCGAGTTAATTGGAATTCCGTCTATTTTCGAGAATCGAACAACTCCAGTAACAATACAATTCTGTATTGTGGAGGATTGAACGCGTATATGAAACAACACTGACGTTCCTCTGTCGGTGACCAACGTATTGTTTTACGATGGAATTGATTAAATCATTGGTTATTTATATGGCAATAAAAAATATCACGCTTGATGTGTACACACGATTGATAAATCTGCGATCGACTGTCAAGATAGAGATTGAAACAGGCGGTAATGTAAGGGACATATTTTTCATTCCACGGGAATGATTTTCTTTTTTTAATTCCCCTCGGTTTCCCTTCCATTTCACGAGGCTCAGAAACATTGTCGAAAAAAGTCATTAGCGTATTTTAATTCCCCATGAGGAAAGGGAATCTTCATTTTTCTCGTCGAACAGCTTTACTGTCGCTCGAATATTGCCACGGAACGCGTTCCATTCGAAACACCAGCATCGCCTGGCAATATTCGTTGCTACGTGCATCGCTTTAATTTATCAGCCTTGTTCGAGAAGTATCGATTTTAAAAACAATTTTATTGGAATTTCAA